CACAGAGCAGAGAGAAAGTGCTTGTCCCCAAAGGCGCCACGCCGATTGTCATGGTAAGTTTGTGTGTAGTGACCTAGTCACAATCAGGTTGATGCCCGGAATGAAAGTCACAGGATTTCTCACAGCAGACGGGCGTCCCTTCCAGTCTTCGGGGGCAGGAAACACTTGCTGCGGGGAGTGATGTGACGTAAACACACCTGAGGGGGCGGAAGGGCCGCGGAAGGGAGAGCAGGGGCCTGCGCTGGGCGAGCCTGGCGCAGAGCGGGAGTGGGTCTGAGAGCGCCCATTCCAGGGGTGAACCCGAGCTTGTCTTCCTTCCTCCTCCTCCTCGCGGAAATTCATGTCCCGGGGAGTAAGTAACACGCATGGGCCGGGCCGGGGCTCAGGGGACCCTCCACTGTAGGAGCTTAGATTTAACCTGAAGGTGACGGGTAGGGAAGAATCAACTGTTCCAAGACGAACATGACAATTTCCATTTCCATGCAAAGGCCTCTTGGGCTTCGGTGTCAATGAATAAAAAGGGCCGATATTGTGTGACGAATTTTTCAAACCTTCTTACAGTTGAAAGACGTCCACAGTATCACCGCATGTACTTGTGCTATCGGAGCTTGGTCCTCAGCCGACCTCCCTGCGCCTGCGCCGGGTGAACCGTTACTCCAGGGCCATCTTTCCCGAGCAGGTTGGGCTCACTTTCTTTTGACCACCGGGGGGGTGCAGGGCACCGAATGTTCTTCCCTGTTGCCTAAGGAGCAAATAGCTTCACAAACTTATTCATAATCTTGCAAGAACTAGCAGTTCTAATTAGTACTAACTTGGTAATACTTAACACAAAAGTTTGTTTCAGCCACCGGGATGGCCGAGTGGTTAAGGCGTTGGACTTAAGATCCAATGGATGTTTGTCCGCGTGGGTTCGAACCCCACTCCCGGTAGGTTGGTTGGAGTAGGTATTTTATGGGGGGAAAGGATGAATTCCTTCTGCAATACTAGGCCAGTTTCTAGTTGAGCCTTAATTTAGTCATTCCAATGGCTGTCTATAATTGATGGGTTCAGGTAATTGATATGTAACATAGTTACTGACATCTCCTTATTAAAATCTAAGCTGTTTTCTGTGTCCTTTTGTTTCTTTTAAAATCTTTTCTCTTGTATTTGAAATATATGAGCATTTTTCATGATTTGGATTTTTTTCTCCACTATCACTTTAACATTTATGTCTTTTAAAACAATTTTTAGTACTTTCCCTAGGATATCTTAATATACAGCTACAATTAATGCCTGCCTTCAGATAACATCGTGCTGGTCCTGTGTAGGTGAGAAGTTTACTCACTCTTATGTTTTGTGTTATTGTTGTCATAGTTTGCTTTCATGTGCACTATAACTGTACAGCATGTTTATACTACTTTTGCATTATGCAGTTATTTTTAGAGTTATTAAAATCTGGAAACTTAATATAATAATTATATTCTTAATTGTAATTAAAAATATAATTAATTATTCTTAATTATAGCCAATTAATTAAGAATTGGTTATAATTCGTAATTAATAAAAAATTAGAGATGTCCCCAGGCCCTTGAGTTAAAATATTAAATCAACTATCTCTGCCTAGTAAGACCACGTCAAGTAATTTGATTTGATTCAACTTTATATTCTTTTCACTTTAATTCTATACACGTAAGATCCATTCCTACTCAAACTTGCCCGGCTTCTTTTAGTATAAATTGGCCAAATCATGCAATTCTTATGTGTAGCTCACCTCCTCATGGGTCACACTTTGTCCTTGAACCCTGGACCACTTATACAGTGCTATGTGTAGATTATAGCTCAATAAAACTGGGCGGGGGGTGGTGAGGAAGGGGGGAATATCATTAATTCACACACGAAAATTCTCCAGGATGCTTTCTTAGCTTTTAGTGCCTGGAATTTGTGTAATATTTTGATCCCTGGGTCAAGCCTTTGCTTGGTTATAAGTCTTTGTCTTTATAAATTTGAAATAAAATTTTAAAAGGGGGGGAAATCCACAACAACGTGCATTTTCTATACAAGGCTGTGGCAAAGCCAGGCCACTCAGGCAGTCTCCTCTGTTCTGGATGGGAGGGGCACCACCGCCACCAGGCAGTTGTTTCCGTAGTGTAGTGGTTATCACGTTCGCCTCACACGCGAAAGGTCCCCGGTTCGAAACCGGGCGGAAACATAGTTTTCCCCAAATGCTATTTCGACATTTATAAGTTACAGAGCTCAGAGTTCGTACGCTTGCTCCTTTTTGGAAAGCAGGCGTTATCCTAAGACACCCGCGGAGGCACTGGGGTTCCGCACAAATTTCCAAAATTACGCAAAGCCAGGGAGATTCCAACCCAGGAGGTTCCGTGTAAGCGGAGGTGGAAGTTACACGCCGCATAGGGAAGCTCTCCATGGCCCATATGTCAGTGCCTAAGATCGCCCAGCACGTAGACAGCTGCATGTAGGGGGTCCATTCACTGCAGACGCAACGCGGGGTAGGAAAGCAGAGAAAACATGGGAGCATCGTAGGGTCCAACCAAGAAAGGGAGCAGAGGCGACGCAGGGATGAGGGCTGCGCGGGCTCCTCCCCCGTGGACACCGGTCAGGCCCGGTTGGGAGGGGCATCTCCCCTGCGATCTCGGCGTTTCTCCCGGTTCAGACAACAGCCCTGACCCTGGACGCCGATGGTCGTGGGTTTGGGGGTCCTTGTTCCTGGGAACCGGATGGGGTCGCGGGCTCTGAGACACGGTCGCACGGTCTTCCGGCCCCGTGACCCCCCGCCGCACTCGGGCGCCACCGCGTGTCGGACGCTCCGCACTGCAGCGCCGGACCCGCGCCTCCGCGAGTTTTCTCGGTCAGTTAGAGCAATTCCAAGTTTCCCGGGAGGAGCACGTTCCTCCGCGTCCGCATCTCGGATGGCTCTTTTCTCTTTGTAGGAAAGAGAACATTTCTTAACCTTTTGTTAAAAAAGAACACACTGACGAGTCTCCTGTGACTTTACAAAGGCTAAGTGAGAGACCCGGTCTCAGGGCGGCCGGTTAGCTCAGTTGGTTAGAGCGTGGTGCTAATAACGCCAAGGTCGCGGGTTCGATCCCCGTACGGGCCAGCTATGAGTCCTTTTCCAGTTTTTTTTTTTAATTTTATATCTACCTCATCGTGGACTCTGCTCACATCTGATTACAGACATTGCTCAGATCACCACCGCTGGGCGATAAGATTTGTCAGGTTCTTTTTTTGTTT